ACCCCCTGCACTAAGAAATTAGCGTCACTGGTGTTGTGTAAAACAATATAAATTTAAAATTTAAATGCATCTTAAATTTGATTAAAATATAATTAGGTATTTACCTAACTAAATAAATATAATGTGAAGAACATTTTTATAAGGTGTTACTATAATTTTTAGAAGGTAATAATTTATATTTGGTCTCATTAACCAAAATACCACATAATTTGTGTGATTGAACTTCTCAGGTTCAGGAATTACAGCCTTTGCTTAGAGCTAGATGCCTAGACCGCCTTTGTATTTAAATTAAAAGTAAAATTATAGATATAAATTAAAATTAAAAAATATTACGAAGTATTATGTTTTCATACCTGTTGCTTAAAAATTAAAATATTGGGAGCTTGGGCTTTTATTTGGTAAATTATTTCACTTATATTTTAGACAGATACCTCTGCAGTATAATAACTAGGTATATGAAATACTTGTATAATTTATAGTTTTACTTGAAAATTGAAAGTAAATACTAGATATAGCCCGAATAAGCCCGATATAGGTCACCATTTTTTTTATATTTTCCATTTTCTTCTAAAATAATAATTTAAATAGCATGTTATTAATACTAATACAATGTACGAGTTCCTTTAATTCAATCTTTTTATTTCTAAAATAAAATAATTTTTAGTATAATCTTTATTTAATTATTAATTATTTAATATAAATACTGGAGCATAATTTTGTGCCATATGGTATATATTATGTGTATAACGCGACCACGAATAAAATTACAAAATCACTAAAGGAGAAAGGTACAAAGACAAAATTAATTTTAAAGCTATATTGATTTAAATCCTGAAAAAAACTGATTGGTTTTGTTGAACACAAACATGTTTGAAATTGAAATTCGATGGTTTATAAGGAATACAAAATTACTTTAGAAAATGCGGGAAGTTAATATAGTTGAAGAAAACCCAAAGAAAACAGGATCACAAATTTAAAGCACCTATAAAGGTTAGGTATTAAAAAAACAAAACAATTATACGATTTTGGTTTTTTTATGCTACATGCATTCATTATGGAGATCATCATCCACCTAATAATAGCTTGCTTCAAATAATATTTTTATTAAACTATGGTAACTACATCTATACACTATCAAATTATTTGATAATTGTTAAATTCCCGTTAAGTTGAATTAATTAATTATGATAATAAACGTGAACACTAATTTTTACTAATTATAACAGGAACTGATGCATATGATACTATGATAAAATAAGTAAAAACTGTACCTATATATACGATATACCTAAGGATATATTTTGTTTATTAATTATTGAGTGCACGGAGCGAACGCGCATAAAAAGTTAGAAACTTAGATATTCGTTCGGAATCGTATTTTTGTTGAAAATATATCGTTGGAAACAATTAATATTATTGGAATCGTATTTTTATTGAATCATATTACATTGGAATCGTAATCCGATTGAAGTATATTATTATGTCACCATGTCGGAAGCAAATGTGGGCTAGGAAAGTAGGAAATGTAATTTTATGGAAAATATTTTGTTGTAGGAAGTATTGTAACTGTAATCCTAACCTAACTGTAATATACTCAACAATATTTTGTCAGAACTTATTTTCATGGAAAATATTTCATTGGCAGTGTGTATTTATGTATTCTATTATATAATATAATTTATATTGGGTTACCTCTTACAGCTATAGGGTTACGGTAAACGGTTCCAAACGAATACTTTTCATATGATATACGATTTTGAGCTACCTAATACTATTCCATCAAAAATCAAAATACCTTTCAATTAAATACGATTCCCTAATCCCTGTGGTGGATTCAAGGTAGGCTGAGGGCCTGCTGCCCCCCCTCTCTTGACAGTTATATTATATATTTTGTAGCTGTGATAATTATGAAAAGGTATATAAATCGTCGTTAAAATTGCGTCCAGACCATTAAGATAATGTTGATACTTAATTGTTATTTGTAATCTTATTTGTATTTTATATTTAGTGTTCATTGTTCAATAACTTTTACTATAATATATTAATATACAATATAATATTTTAAAATACCAAGATACCAGGCTCTTTTCACTGATTGTTTATATTAGCATTTCCAATACACGATAAAATATTCAAAACATTTTAATCTGTTTTAGACTTAAATTTTCAATCCTTAGCTATAAAAGTTGAACATTTTATAAATTTTTAACTACAAAATTATTATTAAATTTTTAATGTGATACATTTTGTCAAAATTTGAACTTTAAATGCTTATAAAAAAAAATTGTGCCTACGTATTTTTAATATTTTTCAACTGCTGTTGTAACAATATATCAGAAAAGATACTGTTGAAGAAAATCCAAGCATTTTTACTGCCCTAAAAGGTGATGACTGATGACAGACACAAAAAATAAAAAAATAAAAAAAACATAGGTACATCATTGTAAAATCAATACATTCATCGTTTCAATCTTAATTTAAAAATGTCTAAGAAAGTCAAATTAAATTTTTAATGTTTGAAGTTCAAATTTTTACAACATTGAATTTCTCAAATTAACTCAATTTCTCATGTAGTGATTTTCTTATTTTGTTGTAAATCAAAAACGAATTACCGTAGACACTTGAGATTTATATCATATATTTATTTTATAAGTTCCTATACTTGATAAAACATTCAAAATATTTTGATTTGTTTGAGCTTTTTGAGGACAAAATTTCAAATTTCAATTTTTTTCTATAAATATCAATACACTTTTATTTGTAGGGCCAAAAAGTGTCAACATTTATTACTTAATATATTTTTACTTTAGCAGTTGAAAAATATTAATTCATAGGCATAATTTTTTTCAAAAAGTTTAAGGACATTTTCAATTTTTTCAATATTTTTTTCTATTATTGTTAGTAAAACTTTATTTATTGGGTATAAAAGATTGAAAATTTAATATAAGGCTTCTTATATATTGTTACAATAGCAGTTGAAAAAAATTAAAAGTACATATATGCAATTGCTTTTTATAAGTATTTAAAGTCCGATTTATGACAACATTTATACAATTTAAAAATGATTTTGTCGTTAAAAATGTATAAAATTATATATAAATTATAATTATTCATTATTTATAAATTAAGCAAATGTCTTTGCGTGTAAATGATATTATATTTTAATGTTTAGGCACTATAACAAAAAATAATCAAACTGGGAATTTTTTTTGTAAATTATGATCTCTTTTCATATTTTCATCTCTTACCTAATTAAAATTAACAGCCTACCAATGTGATAATTTATTTAATTTTTTTATAGGTTGAATAACTTGGGTCTGTTGTCACTTGTTAATTGAAAACCATATTTAAAAGTTAATTAATTTAGATGAATTTACTGAAAGATTTGTAGTAGGTAAATCTTATAAGTTATAACAGACGAATTATCCTTGTATAATAATTTTATAAGATATGTTCCGTTGTACCTATACTAAATACTAATATATCATAAAAATATAATAGTTAACCAATACATGCAATATATTATAAAATATATTTTTTTTTTATAAACATTGCGTGATAACTGTTAAGAAGAGGAGTGGTAGGGGGTACAACAAATAGAAAGTGGCCAAAAAATATTGGCCCCCTTATGGAAAAATGCCTGGTTACGTGCCTGGGTTTCGAGCAAACTTTTATTGTGAGAACTATATTTTATTGGATAATACCGATAATATTAGGTACCTATATTATTATAGTAACGGTTGAGGATGAGCGATGTTGAAACGATATTGTTATAAATTATTATTTATAATAAATAATAATATATTAAATAATGATATGTACCTAATTAATACACATAATTCATATGATAAGTGTTTAATACAGCCAGAGGCCATAGCCCATAAGCCATTGCCTATTACTTATTAGTACCTACCTATCAAATACTAATAATAAAATATTATGTGAGACTAAGCGACTTGCATTCGCGTATAGGTCTCCAAACTCGTTTCTACTTTAGTAGTTTCCCATAAGTGCCTATCTTAAAATCGTCGCCCGGAACTTGGGAGTACGCCAAATTCGGTTGTACGTCACCCCTCTTTCAGTGCAAGTACAGAAATCCGTTGAAATCGCCGTCATTATTAGTCGCCGTTATTGGTCGGTTACATCCGTCGCGGGTGTAAAAACGGTCGGACCATAAATGTGGTCGTCGCCGTGCGTGTGGAGCCGTGGAGGAGGTTAGAGTGCGTGGCTACCACGGTCACACGGTGGTTGTCTCGGATGGGTTTTGGTGGGGACGCGCGTTAAGGAGTGTCTACTTACTGTGGTACTCACGGTGGCGGACCTCGAAAGAGCATGCGCGCATCGACGTGATGTGTGTGAACGCTGCCTGTCCGGTTCCCACCGCATGCGCGTGGAAACCGGTTACTCGCCACCACCGCCACCGCGCCATTGGGGTGCTTGGCCTGGCGGTGCGTGTGGGGAGGGGGTCCTCCGGGAATGTACGTTACGAAATTTTCTACAGCGACGCCAGTCGCACGGGTCCGTTTGCAACCGTCGTTTGTCAGTCGCACTCGCCGTCGCCGTCGTCGTTGGCGCGCGTCCTCGTATCACTCCTCCGTGTTTCTTTCCCGTACCCCTCCCCCCCCGTCGAAACCAACGTCTCTGATAATAAAAATACCTCGATTTCACGGCAAAAACTCTGTGATTTTGCAATAGTTTTGTGCGCGTCTCGTCGTCGTCCGCCGTCGGTTACCGAAAACTGTTATCGAGATAACATAGTATAATCTGTTATTATTGTATTTCATTCCCGCCGATGGATTATACAGTTCGGTTCGCGTTTCTTTTATTCGCAAATGTCTTCTGACGTGTTCAAATCGTGATTCGTTTTGGTCGTTGGTGCCGTCGGTCGTGGTGCGTCGTACCGTGCCGTGTGTGCGTGTGTGTGTTTGTTTTTTTGACGTGTGATGCCGTTGTCGTTCAAAAAAATCTTTTCGCGAAAACTGCTGTTCAGCCCGAAAGTCATGGGTAACGCGGCGTCGCATCACGAACCGTTGGACCGGGTCGGCAGCCACGCGGGCTCGACGTTTCGGCGTTCGTCCAGTGTTCGGCACAGCAAATCCTCCAAGGTAACGGACGGTATTAAAATAATAATAATGATATTACTCAGCGGCGTGGCCAGGGGTGTGCAAGGGGGTCCATGCCCCCCCCACTCTATCGGCCGTTCTTTGGCCGTATACGGCAATGTTTAAGAGATATTGACCGCTTGTATAACAACATCTCCTAAAACAATGAAAGTTTTAGATTGGACTTGGACACAATAATAATAAAAAGTCGTTAAAATATTATTCATTTCAGTAGGATGTACATAATAATATTGTATAATATCTGGTCATATAATAACTAATAAGTATAGGAATACGCGAATTCTCTAGAGCCAACAATACAAATTCAATTTTTATGCCCCGACCCCCACCCATCACCATGAGTTAAAAAACTCCTGGATATGCCACTAATGTCCCTGGTAGTGCCCATCGATTATGGCGATGGCTATTATATTATTAGTATTGTATTGTAGCTATGGCCCGCGGAGAGTCGTCGTCACGAGTAACAACGAGTAACTACGTCATTATATCGATGTCACCGACGGGCGACGAAAAATCGAAAATCCTCTTGTGAGTTGTGTTCAGTCGTCGTCCGCGACTTTGTATAATATTATATTATTATGCGCACACACGCGTACCGGTTGGGTGCGACCTTGTGTCCCGTAGTCCGTCGTGCAATAATATTATTATGCTAATAATATAAATTATTATTCCGTGTATTAACGTACCTACGTTATAATATTATTGTGTTATTGTGTTCACGTTTCGAGAATACACCCAACACGCAGACGCACATTGTTTGTATTATGTATATACCTATATATATATATATATAGCGTGTGGTGGGTGGGCGTTTTATCGATAAATAGTAATTGCAAGTTTTTTATTCGCGATCCGCGAGGGACAACAAAGATAAATCGGCTGCAACTCTGCAGTCCGCACCTCCTGTGCATATTAACACGTTTCGCATTACGTAGATAATTTTCCTCAGTGGTTAAAACTAAGACGAAAAGTTAATTTTTCATTTACTTGTCAACTTGAAAAGATAGTCGAAGAATCGGTTGTAACAATTATGCTTTTTCCAGTTTATATGAAAAAAACAAAACAACAAGTTAAAATCAGGTCTTAAACAACACACCCATCTGTAACCAGAGTTAAATCGAATTATCCAATTTGTTTAATCATTCTGTATAATATTATACTGAGGTTTTTTAGTACAAATAATAATGATTCATTAACTTCTTTTTAAATTAGTTAAATTCATTTTTTCTCCATACCTAAACTTTAAACTTTTAGAGTTAAACATAGTAGTATTGTTTGTTTACTGTTAACTTATGAGTTATAGCTTAACGTTGACTTAACAAACTCGAATTAATATTTTTCTTTAACTTGACCACTTTTTAATATTATAATATACCTTGGCTGTGCCGAGAAGTAGAGATGTTTATTTTATAGTAATTGTAGTTAGGTAAGTACTCTGTAAAATAATATTCGTTAGTATTTGCGCAATAGTTTTCATTTCTTTCGAACTACCTTAAAAATCGTCCATCGCGTGCGATGTCGAAACGGTTTTGAGACCATGTGAACAACTTTGTTTCACTTGTATTATATATTTTATTCAATAGCGTGTGCTGTGTAGAGAATATTATACACATATTATTATTGTTATACGTCGTGTGTAGTTCGTTTGGTTTCGTTCCTACGCTTTGCTTTATTTTACGTAACTATGTGCGGAATATCATGTCGAGGTTCCTCTAGTTGTTCTATTTTGTGTTTCTGTTTTTGTTTATGACATTATAAGTAGTTCGGTATCATGTACAACATTAGCGTACTTCAACGACGTGAAAAAGTTCATTAAAATGTTTTTTTGTTCATGTCTATAATAGTTACTTCCGAATACTTGGAATAGGTGAGCGCCGCCTACTGGCCGGGCAAGTGATGCCCAACCATTAACCTTATCAAATATAAATAAGTGCCTATACAAAATAATACAATGACCTATGTAGGTACTTCAAAAATATTTAAATTTCTTTTTTTTGTTTATTTAAAAATATTTGTATGTTTATAAAAGTTATGCTATAGGCATTGGTACAATATACCTGGTGATAAAAATGGAATACAGCTTAAAATTTATATTGTTATCCACATAAAGGCAACATATTTTTACTATCGTGGTCTACTGAAAAAAAGGTTGAGCATCACTGGCTTTAGGCTCTATAACGACGAGGTATAGTCAGTCTGAATACCCCGAATAGTTTTTAGATACCTATAATAGTGTATCGTAATTCGTAAGGTATTTTCATGCATTCTATTTCAAACGATTTCTAACGTTTATAAGAAACACTATTGGAATTTTAGGCACCTGTTTTTTCATTTTTTTCTTAACAATTTAATATTGTTTTTTGAATTTCTAAAACAAATACATTTAAATTTAAATACTAGAATACACCTTGATGTAGTATTATTAGCGGAATAAAGTTTGGACTCGTATGTATTAAATTATACTTCGTAAAATGTGTAATATTTACGATCAGTCCATTTATATATCACTTATTATGTTTACATATGCGGGTATAATGTTATTATTCTGATTAGTGATTCAATAGAATATAAGTGATATGCATATAGCCAATATATATTGGTAAGTTGATGACATTTCTTTGTGTTTTACTGATTAGTGACAAAGCCTTAACATGTTATTACTTATTATGCCGTCTTAAATGTTAAAAAGGTTCGAATAGGTACGCAGTACGCTTTAAAAAACTATACATACCTACAACCGGTTAAAATAATTATAAACAAAAATTATCACTAGACCACAACAACTGACAACTATTAAAATATTTAAAACTGTGTAGTGAGTAGACGAATAGTTTAAATCATAAATTATAATGTCAACATTTAATTTTAAATTAAAAATATCATTATTTAACTATGTACTAGTGAATGTTCCACGGCCGTGGCGTTTGGATTTTGTCAAATGGTAGGGATTCTGGAAACTACTACTTAACCCCACCACCATAAAAAAAGTTGAACATTATGCAATATGCATACTATGCGTATTATTGTGATAGTGATTTATTAAGGTAATAGAAATGCTTACACGTACCTATATGTCATTTATAAAATACTTATGATTGATAACAAACATGAACACTTTAAACGATGATAATTATTATTTATTATACACAGCGCAATTATAATAATATATTAATATAGTACTTAAACAAAAATTGATATATAAACATAATATAGAAATCGATTATATCTACCTAATTGGAAACGTCAAATTGTAAATTCATCGTATATATTTGTACAATTTTATTGTACAGATATCATAAATATAATTTACCGCAATACAAAGACGTACAGTATTGATTATAGTACGTAAAATTTAATCTTCTCCACGTCGGTGAATTGTTTCGAAAATGGGTTATAATATTAATATTGAGTATGGAAAGCAATCGTTTTTCAATGCACCTAATAATAGAATATTTTTCGGTAATACGTCTGAAACGAACAACGATTGACGACTACGATGTATTCGCCCATGTATATGAGAACCCGCAGGATATCCGCCGTTTTTTCACGTTTCCTATTCGTTTACTCCAAAACAGCTTGAGATCACGGTGTGCAAGAAAACAGCGTGTCGCTATTATAGGTATATATGGGTACCTACAACTATACTGTCTTACTTCCCCCTTTCGCTCAAACGATGACAATGGATAATATTATAAGGGTGAGTGTGATTTCCCCTAGTAATATATGTAGGTATAGATATATTATGTGTAAAATATATAGGGGTGAGTATACGAAATCCGTTGCCTATATACTATATATCGAATTCCTATATTATTTTTATTATTATTATTGTTATAACAGGTTGATCAATGGTCGTAGTCGTCTCCGAGATCGGTTAAGGTATAAATGTAGGTACACTGGTCGTAATACATGAATATATAATATTATGTATATTATGTCGCCACTGCAGTCTTTTGTGTTAGACGTTTTAGAGTTTCACGCACACACGCGAACGTATGTATATTAATACTTATGTGTAACACACACATGCTCCACTCAACCCCTATTGCATAATTCACGGTTCACGTCCTGTCTCAAATGTAGCACCTCTGACAGAAAACATCTCGACATCCGTTAATGTTTCCGCGCAAGCAGCCTCCTCCTCGTGCGCCTATATAGGTATATGATATAGGTATGCCTACAAATGTTTTTTTACACGTATCTTAGTTGCACGTTTCCGGTCGATTTGACGGGAAAAAAAAATGTTTGTCCAACAACTGTGGGTGCTGCCATTGTGTCGATCGCCGATCGGCCTTGCAATTAATTTAATAATTAACCAACAACCGATCTATCTGTATAATATAATATCGACAAACTGCTTGCTGAAAAACTTTTATATAGGAAAAAACAGACGACAGCGATCTATTGCAGTAGTAACTAATATTCTTCTTTGTCGACGGATTTTTATCACATCTCTCTCTCTCTCTCTCATTCCGGTCCATCGGCGTCGTTGGTCTTTCTGCAATCGTGTCTCAACGCGGAGCTGATATTCTCGTTTTTTTATTACATACATATATATATATATATATATTTTATTATTTATTCTCCGAGAATGTTTCTCCGCCGGTTGACCTTGCGCGCGGGGGCTTTCACGAGGTCGTTCACACGGGGGGGAATGGCTGGCTGTGATGTGGCTATACACGTATATAGGTACCATATTATTATGCGTAGGTACGTATCCATCTATCTACAGGCGTACGGTAAAATCGATTTTCGTGTTTTTCTATTCTAAGCTGTGAGCCCGTGGCAGGTCCACACGAAAAAAACCTTTTACACAACCCTAAATGTGGCCGGGGGGGAGGGGATGCTATTTTTAAAACACGTCACCGGTGCTGCAGTTTGTTGTGTCGGAGCAGCTGCGCGACGAGTGAGCATCGCTGCAGAGCATCTGGCTACAGCGCCGATATATTTATGCCGTGTGTCTATGGTATTATATTATGTGG